CTTCGGACCACTGAACGAAGACGAGGAGAAAGAGGAGCCGACCCCGAGCGACGAGCGATGGGTTTTGAGTCTCCTCGAGAAGAACGACGAATCCGTGCAGCCTACAAACGTCGCTACTTTTTGACTAGCTGTTCGAAAGTGAATTTTAGTAACGAGTTCACTTCGTTTCTCCGGTCGATTTTTAATGTCGAACAATCGCAAACCGGCTTCGATTAATGAGAGGATTCAAAGATCAGTTCTTTACAATAATAATTGGTAGACCACTGAATGGATACTCTTCCTCACGATTTCATTTGAACGCAGTTTTACGATTTTTTCTCAATTATTTCTGAGGTTTTATAACTAAGAGGACAAGGTAGCCGACTGGTCGCGAACAATTACCGGAACGGAGAAAGACTGCGCGGCGGACTATGAGGGTGGTTCACGTGCCGCGAAGGCATCTAGGTCCGAGGAGAACGTAGCGAAAATGTTCCGCTTCCGCGCGACCAACGGGGGCCCGACTCGTGTATCGCTTTTATCACGGGATTGCTAAAACGACCCGTCTCGCCGTTATTCGCTTATGAGATCCTCGGCTACGTGCGCGACTACATTTTATAAAATAGCGATAGGAGAGACGGAGAAAGAGAGTACGAAACGTAGCGGCCGGTAAGATATTGGTCGATTCACTTATAGTCATGAATATGTATTCGCGTGGCAGTCTGCAGCTGCAGGCTTCCGCTTGGCAATCATTATTCTTAATAACCGCCATTACGAACGGCGCGGCGGCGTGCCGCGTGGATTTTTCGCTCGCGGCGACGCGAAACGATTCTGATGAAATTACACGACGGATACGGTGATGGCGCGAGAATTGCGACCGAACGAAAAGTATCCTATCGTTCCGCGTTCTTCGACACGATTATCGCGGGAGTCGGCAAACAAATCTGCGTCGGCTCCGTCCGTTCAGTGATCGTGAAACGGACATCGCAACGTGAGCAGATACGTGCGATCGAGATTCGCGTTTAACGTACGGATTTGGTTTCACCCCGTTCCTATTCGCGTTTTACCGGCGAGCCATCCGCGAGCGCCGGCGTCCCGACGCAATATTTACGGGCTCGGTTATATCCCACGGCTTACACGCGTTTGCATTATTGACGCGGCCGGTAAGAAACCCGCTCTACCCAGCCAAGTCCTGACCGTCGTCCGTAATGGTCGTTTTCTTTCTCTCTTCCATCCGTTCTCTCTCACGGTAGTTAGCCTGCCCGAACAATTTCAAGACAGTAACATCGTATTTGCACGAGTTTACTCGTGCCGTCGACGCCCGTGGTGTGCGGCGTAAGAAAATCGAGAAGAAGCTCCGCGCGTAGCTGCCAGCAACGAGGTTAATTACCTATCGCGCGTTTCCGCTACCTCCGACCATGAATGCTAACACGGACCAGCCTCCGCATTCGACCTTACTCTTTTTTTCGCAGCCTTTTGTGCTCTTCCTATCGCGGTTTTTAATAATCCGCTTGTATTACTTTCCGCCCTTAATTTCGCTCTCTCCTACCGGTAAACTTTAGTTCTTTACGTTCACCCTGCTGCGCCGCCGTGCTTTTTTCTCGCGCGTACTGATGAAATTGAGTTTCGTTCCTCGTCGAAGTTAGTATCCGTATTCGTGCTGCGAATGGGTAACGAGAACGACGCGTGTTCCAGAAAGCTCTATGCTGTTTGAAACAGTCGAGGGAGGAATCCGTCGAGGAGTCGTCATTCGTATCGATCGATCGGACAGAGCTGAGCATTTTAATCGCGCTGGTCGTACGAGAAACATAACGCTAAACGATCGTTCCGGATGGATGACCGACAAAGGCGTTCGGCGTTTTCGCGTTCCGAGTTCTAGACGAAACGAACCGAGGAGAGAACCGACGAGAGACAGAACCGGACGACGAGCTGTGTTTAAATCTCGCAAACCGAGATTCTCTCGTTCGAATTGCAAAGCACATTTGCGCGTTACGCCGATATTCTATGCAACCGCAATTACTCGAGATGACGTCGGGACGAAGACAACTGCGAGGGAGAGATGGTCTGATTCCGTCTCGGGAAACAAGAGCTGGCTGCGACGCGGATGCTGCGGCAGAGAAGGAGAGAAAGACGAAGCGCTCGACGCTGCGTTACATAGGTTTCTCTTTAACTAGGTTTCCAGTTCTCCCTCGTTGCCCGTACCGCTTTTCCTTTTTTTTCTTTTTTCTTCTTTCGCGACTGATTGTTACTCGTTTTTACTAGAATAACGAAGCTCGGGTTTCAGTTTCTCAGCGCATCGTGTCTTCGCGACTCGACTCTCGATCGTGCGTCCTCTCGATCTCGATGTGTGCCGTCGCGAGACACCTCGAGCTACCGAAAAGCCCCGGCAAACAAACTCGGTGCACGCGTCAAAGCTCGCGACAAAGCGCTGAAAGCGCATTATGCGCGTCGCCTGGCGTGCCGCCTCGACCAACTCTCGGGATTCCACAGATTACTGCCGCGCGTGACGTCACGCCGCCGGACCGGATTCTCTCTTTCATCTCGCTTAAATGCCCGTCCACGCTTCCGTTCCAAGTGTGTACCTCGGGAGCTTTTCCACGCGCACGGAAGAGTGCTCGACGTCGTTGTTGGAAGAATTCGATCGGTTTCCGTTGTAAACGATTTCATCGAGTAACGTCGAACCTCGAAGTTAATCCGTTGGATTTAAAATCGAAGGTCTCCGGGAGAGATAGCCGACCGAGAGACGGGAAGAACAGGTGGCGATGGATCATGGTTGTTATCTATTATTTCCCGGATTACGGTCGGTGTTCCGTAAATTTTCATGGTACCGGCGATGGGACGAGTCACGGGACGTGTTCGAAGCCGAGTCGAGTCGAGTCGGGGGCAAATCGCGCGCGGCGCCATCCCACCATGAATTCATTCGCACCCTCATGAAATTCAAAGCAGTTGTTACGCTGTTGGCACGACGGCAACGAGCACGAGGAGGTAGAGGACGAGCGCGCGGAACGACGGATGGTTTACGGACACACCCGCGCCAACATCCACGAGCTCTCTCGCCTCCCCCGCGCGCTGATTGTGAGACGCGTGTTCGATGTTTTATTTATATATCGCGTTTGTATCGTTCTCTTGCTCAGGTTCTCACCGTTTATTACCACCCGGGAACGCGTGCCATACCCGTTCCATGCTCCGTGCGCCGTGAGTCGCGTCGTGAACCGCGCGGGCCCGCGGCCGGACCGAAGCGAGAACCGTCGCTTTAATACGTAATTCGAAAACTCGCGGTTAATAGATCGCTCGGGGATTAAGTGTCGCTCGGTGTAACGCAACACTGCAGGTAATTAAATGCGCGTGTTAAATTTATGGCAAATTGGACGAAATCTCCATCGAGTAGTTAGCACTTAAGCCACTCTCGATCTCGATTCTCGCATGCGATTTGATTAAGCCTCTATTAAACCAACGCGGGGCGTGCTTTACCAAATTGAGGATAGTCGCTGTCGCGCTGCGTTGTTTCGATGAAATGATTTCGCTACGCGGGACCGGGACTGGAATTGGGAACGGGAACGGTAAATGCTACTTGGCCGGCTCGTAATCGATAATAGAGTCGCGTAACTGTTTAAACGTTCGTTTTCCTCTGCCTCGAGATTAGTTGTACTGCTAGAGAAAAGTATCTTGGGCCGGGTATATCCGAAGAACGTGAAGGGAACAGCTCGAGTCATTTCGTTTACGACAATGAACAGACCGATGGATGGGACGATATTCGCGATTGGAATTTATCCTGGGAATAGTTTCGTAATAAATACCGATATCTACTCCGATGTACGCGCCTACACGATATACTGCGCGGTGACATTCAAATTGCCGTCGCGAAACGCGACGCATACGCTACCCATTACACTGATATTCCGAGAACATTAGACCGACCGATGCTGCCATTTCCAGAGTGAATGTACGTAAAAGCCTGCTGCTCGATTCAAGGACTGCCATGTCTCGCCGTGCCCAATGCATATTCTAAATAAATTAACCTATTTCTCGTATATTTTTTGCGATTTTTCGTAAGTCAAATGTTGGTTTGATTAGTGCCTCGATACGTGCGACGTTGTCAACGCGAATAGAAGTGGCAAGACCCGTTCGCCGAGGTCTTGTCGCGGGGAAAATAATTAGCTCCCGGATCCGATCGCGAAAATATTATGCGATCTGAACTGCAACCGGAATCGTTCTTGGCAGAGCACAGAACGTACGGGTTACGGCGTATAGCTTGGCGTTACAGCATGCGGCCGCGACTCTAAAGAGGTCAAGTACACTTCTCCGTACTTCTAGTTCCTTCATCCATCGTTCTCTAGACTCGGTGAGAATCTGATTCGACCCGACCTCCGCTACCGCGCCGCGCTACCCCGCATTCGTCTCTCCTCTTTCTTCTTTCTTTCCAAGGTTTTTATCTTAATAATCCTGCCAGACAATATTCCTACCCTTTTTTTTCCGACTCACCCTACCGAGCTAGCCGGCTCGTTCTTCGATCTTCAATGCATCCACCGTCGTTATTAAATTTAATTAAACCCCGTTATTGCTCTTTATCGTGCCGCGGAACGAAAGTAGGGAACGAAATTAGTTTCTCTTTGCCCGCGATACCTTCGAAAACGTACATAGTATACTGTCTGGAACGTTACCGGTGACCACTGTTCCACGTTCCGTTTGGCAAAGATAAATATTCGTTTTGATGCGAGACTCCGATGTTGTTTGACAAAGAGGACAGGATCGCGAGTTTCGCTTTATAGTGACCCGCGTTTCCGAGTCGGGTACAGGCATTTACGGAACAACTTAAGCCAATCTGGCCGGCCACGATCATTATCCCTTCATCGCGCCGGAACGAAGCTATATGTATAACTTCGATGCTAAGTCGTATTATTCCGAAGACGACGTAACAGGTCACAGGTCGAATAATGCGATCGATTTCGTAACCCCGATATGAATTATCGCGGAAGCTGAGAAATTCGATCGGAAGGAAAGGGTGTCGAAAAAAACGAGGAAACTGCGATGACAATATATATGTATTCAATACATTAGAATTAGACGAAGCACATTTACTGAACGCCGTTGCATTCGTTTTTCACGCTGCTCCTCTATACTACTATTCCCCAATCTTCCTTAATAAAGTCGGCAGCCCTTTCTCCGACCATGTTGTACGAGGCGACCGGATTGCCCGAAACCACCTGTGAAACGACGGAAGCAACGTGATTGAGAGACGACGAGTAGGAAAGAGAGGAAAAGCGTATGTTATTCGTAAAGGTGTACGTACTTGAGGCAACACCGACGCGTCGGCTACTCTCAGTCCTTTGACACCGTTGACTTTGAGTCGCAAGTCGACCACTGCCATTGGATCGGACGCTGGACCCATTTTACACGATCCGGTTTGATGATTCTCGGGTCTCGAGTCGTAACGTACAGCGCATTTCCAGTAGTCGTCGGTGAGGTATGTACGATCCGCGCATTGCGGTACCGTCACATTTTTAAGCTTCAAACCGATTTTCTGCATCGTCGGGGTTTGCGACAGTTTTGTAATCGCGTGAAGTCCTTGGATTATGACGCTGAGATCGTGATCCGTGGCTATGTCGTTGCTCCAGATGACCGGCGGATCGAGCGGATTGTTGCTGTTCAACGTGATACGACCTGTGTAAAGAAACAAAATTTAGAATTTGATCTGTAGAGCTTTTTTTTCCATTCGCGTTCTTTTGCTTCCGTACCTCTGCTCGTTGGCTGAACGTTCACGGAGGAGAACCTGACGGACATTTTCGGACCGCCGCTAGCCAAGTCCGGGATGTCCAGTTTCGGTGCGCAAACTGCTTGGTAGCCAGCGAAGAATATCTGGATGTCTGGGTCATCGGGGGTGGTGAGATTCGAGGCGATCATTCCGGTAACTTGCGCCAAGCCGGTAGCGGCGAACGGTCCGGTTTGATTCTTGAGATAGAGTTCCGCGTTGGTTTGGTTGAACAACGGATAGTAATCCTCGTCCACTGTGAAGTCCAAGCCGTACGATTGGTGATTGTGTAGATTTTCACCGACGCCTGGTAGATCGACGACTACGGGGATTTTATTCTGTTTGAGGTTTTCCTTTGGTCCGATTCCGGACAACAACAAAAGTTGTGGCGAGTTTATCGTGCCCGCGGATAGGATGACTTCCTTCTTCGCTCGTACGCGGTACTTCTTTCCGTTCTGTCGACAGACAACAAGCTCGTATATCCGACTCATGATTCGATACCATTTACGACGTCAGGTACGATACCATTAAAAATTCGACGCCGGTGGCCTGCTTGCCGGCGGTTGTGACTTTGGTCACAAGAGCGTTAAGGGCCACGTGAAGATTTTTACGGTGTGCCACCGATTTAACGAACGAGTCGAAGGTGGTCCTCCTCACACCCTTCTGACTGATAGTTTGGGCCACGGTGAATCCAGTGGGTATCTCACCAGCCAAATCTTCGATCGTGCCGTAGCCTGCTTCTTTTGCCGCCTCGAGAATGTTATTAGTGAATGGTGGTTGATAGGGCAACCTGTCAACGAAAGAACGATTTCCCAGATCGCGGTTCGAAAGATCGTAGAGGAACATTGGAATACGTATCGACGACGAACCTTTCGACGTTCATCGGCCCGCCGGTGGCATGGAGTGACGCGCTAACTCGACCAATTTCCGTGTTATTCTCCGATTTCAAATAGTACGGGAAAACCTGAGAAAGATGGATAACGATAATAATACTTCGGCTAGCGTGACAGAAATATCAAAGGCAACGATGGAACGTACGTCTTCCCAAGCCCATCCAATGGCTCCTTTTTCGACCCACTTTTGGTAATCTTTCGGGTGACCCCGATGATACGCCATGCCGTGGTGAAGCGTCGTTCCGCCGGCGTTCTTACCTCGAGGCCAGACGCATTTGCCGTCGGTGCTCAGACAGGCGTACGACTCGTTCGACGTTTTGTACTTCCAATCCAATTGGCCATCTACGCGCGTCACGAGAATACACGTTAATTGCACGACAGTCTTTATAAGCTACCTCATCGTCGATTCGATTATCAAGATTAAGCTCATTACTCAGATAAAGTTGAAGATTGCTGGGTATTTCGGCGCCTGCCGGTTCGTCCGGGCCCGCTTCAAGCAAGAGAACCTTCCAATTCGATATCTCGCTCAGTCTTCCAGCCACCACGGATCCGCCAGCTCCCGCTAGGTTCAAGTAAACACAGCCATACAATGAGAAGAGAGTCGTTCGGCAAATATACTCGAGTCAACTTACAGCCAACAACGATGAAATCGTAACTAGAGTCCGGAACTGCGATCGGTTTCACACGCCCGCATGGATCGCCGATTTCCGGGTTGGCCACCAACAGGCTGTTGAGGATCGTCAAAAACAAAGTTCCCGCGCTCGCGGAACAAACGTTGGTGAGTTGAGGTCCGCCCGCGAACGGAACGGGACATGTCGGCGACGCGACCAAAGTAGGCAAAGGGCAACTCTGAAAATCGGCAAGTCGATTGTGCGTGAGAATCGACTTGTCCGATTGCGAAATTAAGTATAAGAACATACCATGTTGCCTGTGGAATTACGGTCGATTACCCAAACGAAATTGTGCACTGTAGGCCCCGGTTTTTTCGGTAACGTACCGATCGACTCGCCGTCGCTCTCTTTTATACAGGTTCAATATGTATATGAAGACGATAATGGGTATAGGATACGCGGTATTTGCAAACTATAACCATTGTTATTGATAACGCAATGTCGCACTTGTAAATTTGTCGGCTATCTGACGTTCGCGGAGCATTGATAAATGGTACCACCCGGAAGTTATGACAGTCGTAGTACGTACGGTGCGTACAATGTTATTCCGTTACAAGCATCAACAGGCATGAGATAGTTACCGTGAAATGACCGATGGTTCTTATCACAACTTCTAACGTCAAACGATTACTTGATGTATTTACGCTTTTCCTTATCCGGAAGTTAATTCGGTGTCCACGTGTTTGTCGCAGTTCGACAGTAAAAAGCTCCAAGGCAAGTATTATCGATGCAATCCATAGTTCATCTTCGACGAACGCGATAATTTATTGGAGTATCAAGGGAAAAAGAAAAGACTGATGATCGAACAAAATTGATTTATTGTATATTGCAATACTTAGTTCAAAGAAGAAAGAAGAGCACAGGTCGAAGTAATAAGTGGGATATAATTCCTTAGGTAACATCGGTTCTTTGGTACATTTGTATTTGACATTGCTACAGTAGGATACCTGAATAATAAAAATACGAAGGACTCTCGAGCAGTTCGCTTGATACGATCGTACACAACAGATGTGCGACTTTGATACAGGTACACTGAATTTATTAAAGCGTGACAAATCGAACGTTTGAACTTTACTCGAGGCCTTCGCGGTTCTATACACCCTTGACATTCTCATATCGGAAAGAAAAAAAATAGTCAGGATTAATACATGTAATGACGTTAATGATCTCTAAGATCTGCAATGATCGCTGAATCGGCTGAGTCCGATTCCGACTCGTTGGTCGTTCCGTTCCACGCTTTCGATAGAATCGATCACAGCGCAGGGAGAAAGGTAGTAGCAGCAGTAGGTGCAGGTGCGCGCCGCGGTCTTTTAGTTTCTCTTCGGTGAGTTTGATCGCGGCCAGCGCGGAACAGGTATTTTTCTCCTCGAGGCATAACTCGTAAGCAAAGCCCACTGGATGGATTCAGGGACTAGATCGGGAGGACGATCGAGGATTCTCGACTACCAGACACCTTGGTCCCAGTCGATGTACTTGATCCCCCAAAGCAGTAGATCCAGCGAGCTGTCGATCGTGGAACGGGAACTAGGAAACATGGCAATTATTTCTAGTGACTGTGAGATTTCCGTGATATCGGATGTTTCCACGCATGGTGGTGAGAAGAAGTAGCGGATGGTAGAGGGGGAGGGGGGAGAGCATGGTTCCCGTACCATTGCGTATTCGGCACGGCCCACTCCGACTTTATGAACGAGGCTGCCTTCTCGGCGATCATGATTGCTGGCGCAGCCGTGTTGCTAGACGTCACCTTTCGGGTACACAGAATATATTATTACGTGTTAGAAATCGTGCGAGATAAGAAGAGAAAACCGTAATGATATACCTGAGGCATGATGGACGTGTCGACGACTCGCAGCCCTTTGATACCGTGCACCTTCAATCGCGGATCTACCACGGCCATTGGATCCGAAGCTAGACCCATTTTACAGGATCCCGCTTGATGATTCTCCGGACCGGTGTCCTGACGTATCGCGCACCTCCAGTAATCGTCGCTGAGGAACGGATACTGCGAGCAAGCTTGGAGAGGAGTGTGGTCCAGCGTCATATTATGTTTCCGCATGGCGGTCGTGTTAGCAAACGACAAGGCTATCCGGATACCCTCCAGTAGAACCGTACCGTCCATCGGATCGCTCAGATAATTGCCGTGGATCACCGGTTTCGCGAAGGGATCGTTACTGGCCAACCGAAGGGTACCTAACGAGAGGGAACAAAATTCGCAATGTCGTTATACGGTTACAAAGCAGTAGCGTACAACGCGTACAAAAGTGCAATTAAACCTTTGCTGCGCGGATGGAGATACGTGGGCGATATGCTTATGCTTCGACGGTCACCGTTTATAAGAGTTCCAACCTCCCCAGTGGTCGCGCAGGACGCTTGATATCCTCCGAAGAAAAACTGAAGATCGGGATGATCCGGGGATGTGTACCTCGACGGTATGATCCCTGTTATTTGAGACATTCCCGTGGACGACATGGGTCCCCGTTGGAACCCGACGTATTCCGCGGCCGCTGCCCAGTTCAAATCGTACTCGTTCGGTTCGTTTATAGTAAAGGACACAGTGTACGAAACATGATTGTGCAAATTCTCGCCGACGCCTGAACCAATAGATAAAGAATCCAATTTTATCGTATTCTTGTATCGACGCGTGGGTACAGCTCAGAGGATAGACGTAGAACGTGACAGGCTAGATAAGGCGGCTCACCTGGAAGATCTTTTACGACGTTCACGTTCATGCTCTGCAGATGATCTTTCGGTCCGATTCCAGATAGCAACAAAATCTGAGGAGAGTTGACAGCCCCGCCACAGATGATCACCTCGCGTGATGCTCGAGCGACTCGAGGCACGCCGTCCTAAAAACGATCGAAACGTGCGTCGAAAAATAATGATCGTCTACGCGACTGACGACGTGGATTTACATGTTATCGTCGCTTGTGGAGATTCGAAAGTAAAAATACATATGTAATAGTAGTAATTAGACGAATTACTGAAATCAACTACGGCCGTAATGTTTGCGTTAACATTCCGATACATATTATTAAGCGTTATCGTTTTAAAAACGGTGTGTAATCTGATCGTCCCGGAATATGCATAATTTCTGTAGAACCGGTATACTAACTTGATAATACTGCACGCCCACCGCTTTCATGTTTTCAACGATGACTTTCGTTACAGTCGCATTTAACGCCACTTGGAGATTTCGCCTCTGACGGAACGGCCGTAGGAAAGCGGCCGCGGCGCTCCGTCGAACCCCGTCGTAATTCATCGTTTGAGCGACCGTGAACCCGGTGAACTGATCACCGTTCAAATCCTCGGTAAGCGGGTATCCTTTCTCGGCCGCTGCCGCGAGTATGTCACTCGCGATGTCCGGCCTCCAGGGAAACCTCCCCACGCTGAGCAGCCCCCCGGTCGAGTGATATTTACGACCGACACGATTGATCTCGGTGTTATTCTCCGAACACGCGAAATACGGCAACACCTGTTTCCAAAGCAAATACCAGATATAGGTAACGAGCCCCGTTAACATCTTCGAGTGGTTTACGACGGTGCGAGCGTGTGTCGAGTCGAATTCCTCGCTAATGATTACGGCGAACCGAACTAGTCTGACGGATTGACAAATCGCTCTCTTTAACTACGAGCCAAACACGATTTTCGCAACAAGAATGGTCGGTTTTGTTTTCTAGACTCACCTCGCGCCAAGTCCAACCATCGTTGCCCATCGCAGCCCAGTTGTCGTAATCCCTCGCGTGTCCTCGCGTGTACATCATTCCATTGTGAACCGACGTGCCTCCGAGGTTCTTCCCTCTCGGCCAGCTGCACGATCCTCCGCTCGAGAGGCAGGCGTTTTGTTCGTTGCTCGTGCGAAACTGCCAGTCGATCTCGGTTCCTATATTGAGAAATTCGTTTTTCGAATCGTCGATTGTCCATTACGCGCTTTATAGTCTACGATTCGTACCTAGGAACATCGCCACCATGCTCGGGATGTCGGCACCGGGAGGCTCGTCCGGCCCAGCTTCCAGTACTAAAACTTTCCATTCCGGTAGGTCGCTCAATCTGGATGCTACTACGGAACCAGCTGTTCCTCCTGTAGAAAAACACGAGGAACCGTGTAGCACTCGAGTAGGTTTTCTTTCTGCCGCGAAAGGAACTCGACGCGAATCGAGTCTCGGGAAAACAGTTCGATAAGGCCTTGGCCATGGTATAACAACCTCTGCTTACGTTGTTCCTGTACTTTATTACAAGAAAGGAGTTTCACATTCGCGTTCACGTACGCGAAGCACTCCGACACGCACGAAAGTAGAAAGAGCTAATTAAGTTACGTATACCCGCGTATTGTTAAATTCTTATCGATGAAACTATGCGCGTTGGACATCGTTTAGAAAGCGAGATGCTCCGAGAAGATGGACCGATGAAAAAAGCGCGTGTAAACATTTGTAGTAAGCGGCATGCAAATGTTCTAATTTTATCGCCGGTCGCATCGAAAGCATGCGCGCCGCGGCTCTCCTAGCCTCGCGGCGAGAAATTTACGAGTCGCAATTATGAGCCAGTTTGCGTTTCGGAAGATTAATACATCAAGCTTTGGTTAACACGGAATCGCATCGTGCTCGTACTCGCCACTGTCGTAATTAGCAGTGGCAACGCGCGAGATTCGATATTATAACAATTAACAACGTAATATTTGCAGAAATTTCGTTGGAGCTTTTATGGGAATTCAATTTCCGCGCTGTTGCCGTTAAAAAGTTACGATCACGAATTGGACATAGTTAAATAAAATGCAAAACGTACTGTAATTCAATTACAAACCGACTTTTCCACTTTTCTCTTTTCGCTGAAAACGTTATTCTATCAAATTGTGCATTTGCATTAAAACACGAAATTGAATGGTTAACTACGAGTAGCTTAAATTCGAAAGATGGAATCTATTGACGACTGCAACGTCCGTTTCTAGAACCGAAGCGAATGGCTCTTAAGTGGAGCAAGGTGTCTGACCAGCGAATAGCGAGTAGCGAAGTAAACGCAACCGCATGCAAACCGCGATAATTAGATTCCCGCTTAATCGGCGCATCGGCGAATCCGTCGATGGCAATTGCAGCGAAGGAAAAAATATGGCAGTATGGTTATTAGGTAGGGTGGTAAAAGTGTAGTTCTGAATGGGCTCAGATCACGACCCATCCGGTGCAATAGCGCAGAAAATAAGCCGCGTCTGTTGCGATTCGGGCTCGTTATTGTTCTTGCCCCCGGGATTTCCGTCTGCTTGCTTCATTTAATTGAGAAAAAGTAACGACGTAACGGAGCGTTTAGTCGATGCGAGTCCGAACGGAATCGGAGGGAACGTAACTGGGTGAAAGATAAAACGATCGAAAGTTCGCGTCACTCGGCCGTGCAAAATTCAATCAAACTCAATCGATTCGTCATCGCTCGTAAAAGAAACGAGCCTGGAAGAAGGAAATTAGTCGTGTTCTCGCGTTTTTCTCAACGTTTGCGCGCACTCATGGTAAACGCTGTTACTGTTATAACTGGCGCGGCGCAAGATCAGCAGGTGAAAACCGTTCTGCTTCGGCAAAAACTGCTCGGCTCGGTTGCATAACGGCTTGGGCGATTCATGGCACGGCATCGGACGTAGCGAGGGGTATCGTTAGATTTGCTCTAGCGAGATATCGGTCGTACCTGCACGAATCATCGTCCGAGTCGTTAGTAAAAGTAGAATATTATTTAGGTTGTAGGCGGACTCACTGCTATAGAGAACTGGTACGATTATGAAAATTGCGAACTGGCCTATGGGACGGCCTCGAGAACGGTGCGCGAAGAGGGAATCCTGGAGGTAAAAATTGCGTATAAACGAGAAGAATGTCACCGCGTAAATAACGTTTTCATCGCGCGATACGTTGAATATTCGGCGAGATTATGCAAACGCGGACTCGGCCAACCATAAAATATTTCGCGGTACGCAGCCTCGCGAAATGCATATTTTATCGTAGCTGCGAAACCCGTGTGTGCCGGTACGTGCTACACAATACGAATACGGCCGCGACGCAATTGTTCGCGTCGTGGACGATCGAACGAATAGCCTCTAATTGACGAGGTCTCCGAACAGTAACCGGTTCTTCCTAGCGAATTACGTAACGCGAATATCCCGATTTCCGTACACTCTTCCTGATGGTGCGGCTCGCTAATAATAATAATACACGCATCGGCGAGTAAGAGGTAAGAAGTTCCGCTCGGACGTTCTCCTTGTATTAGAAAATGAAATCAATTCGACGGAATTATTACATTGTCGAACCATCGTTTCTGCTTTCTACCGGCCATCGGCGATGAGAGGCTAGTTCTTATAAACCGGGCCTTCCGTTTCGGAATCGTTGGTAATTTTATCTCCACGAAAGTGGACGTCCCATTCCGTAGATTGCGTCTGCGTACGATTTCGTTCTCTGGAGAACGATTTGTAAAATTTCATTTGGCGGGCGGTGCTCGGAGCGTCGCGGCGGCCTAGCCGCTCGGCCGATTTATCATTAACGAGGAGGGACAAGTTAAATTAACGCTCGCGTGGATATCGCTGAATAATTCGTGTTCACTGGTATGGAAGTCCTTCTTCCATTAAAGCCTCCTATTATTGTATTAGCATGTTTGCATCTGAACGGTGAGAAAGTGGTATTAATAATGAAAGGGGTGGCTAGTCAGAGCGGGACGCGATGCGACGCGACGCAGCCGCGCGTAAATCATTCACCGAAAACCATTTGCTTTCGTTACGGTATTTTCAGCGGAAAACGAGTTGAAAATTTCAGGAAGGACGGCTCGATTAAAATCAACTCGGAGGAGTGTAAGCCCGTGCCGATCGTCACCCGTGGGCGACGAAAAGTTTCACGTTGCGATGTACGGTTGCTCGTTGATCCATTCAGAATCGAACCGGCGTAATAGTAACGAGATAGTTATTGGGATTCCGGTAAAGTACTCACCGCCGACCACGATGAAGTCGTAGTTGAGTTCCGGTGGATCGATCGGTCTGACTCGTTCGCACAATTGCGCGATCGACTCCTGACTGCGGATGAACGTGTCCAAGATGCTCATAAACATCAGAAACTGCGATGCCGGGCAAACTTGTGCGAGACTTGGACCGAGGAAGTGGTCCCCGCAAACCGGTGCCACGGACGTTCTGTAGTAGGTCGACATATTCTGCGAGCAGAAGGAAAATCTTTAGTTTCGAGCTACGATTTAAGTATACACGTTCGAACGACGAAAGTCGGCCTGATTTCTACTCGAGCCCGTAAGTTTCAGACGGCGTAACGAAACGAGCGTATAATTATTAAAGCGATAGAAATGTCTAGCGGAGTGTAAATCCGTGGGGAACAGTGACGTGGAACGATTAGACGATACGGCTATTGCGAATGACAGGCGATTTGCGTGTGTTCGGATATTCGTAGTTCGCGTAATGCTCTTTCTATGAACGTCTACGTCCGATGGACGTCGAACCAAGTCAGGGACTCATCGAAATCGCGTGACTAGAACCTGGTGTACCATTTTCAACCAAGATGATGCGATTCGCTCCAGCAATCACTACTGACCACGAATCACTTTTGTTGTTTTGACAACCGGTGCTTTTTTTTATAGTTCGTTTACTCGATCGATTTCACGTGCGGTCGATTACGCTTATCGTTAACGTCCGTTTTGGACAAAATCAAGAAAATGATAAATAAATATTAGTATTTTCATTCCTTTTTTCCAACTTGTTTTCGGACGTGTTAACTCGTCGCGTCACATCGGGCAATTACGCTTATTCTTAACGACCGTTTTCGACAATGTCAGGCAAATTACCATTTACGAATTAAAATTGGCAAGGAAAATAAATATTCGCATTAATTACGAACGTGGGGCGGAGCGGAGCAATCAACGACGAATCTAACAAACCGGTCGCGTTAATTAATTTATCGCTAATTAACGCCGCTGAATTTTCCCGTCGTCGACCGCAGGAGTTAACGCACGCATCTGAAGAAATATAAACTAGCCGAGACGCGAGTGAGTCGTCGAACACGTTGCCGATAGTTGTTAAAATTAGCTTTTTAGTTCAGGTTAGATCAAATGAATATGTAACTGATTGTCCAATTGGAACGGCGTATTTGTTATTGAAACGACTATTAGTATCTCATGTCACTACGGCCATACTCACGATATCGCACTATGATTCACCAGGATTCTTTTAAATAAATGTTATCGGTGTCACACTTTTCTCGACCTCGAATTAAGCGGCCGATAGGCGAAAGTTGATTACAACGAAGTGTTTTCGGTGACTTGGAACAATTTTAAACAAAGACGCGGGAAAATGCGCGATAACGTTTTACGAGCGGCGTTATACGCGGCACTTCTCCTCGCGGCCTATGAGCGCCAGCAAACCTAAACTGTAAAACCTCTCACCGTAGACCGTCTCTTTATAATTCATCTCCCACCCGGGTTCGTTGTCCTTTTCCTGCGCGCGGCTCGACATGCCGCAGCTATGTCATGCCATGACACCGTCGCAGTCCGTGGAGAAATCGTTGAGATTTTTTTCGACGGCCTTTCCGACTCCCGCACCAAGGTCAAGATCATCATCTTCGATCTGCCGCGCCGTCGCGTACTTTCCGATGCCAGTCGAGTTACTCGCGAATACGCCAACGTAATCGCGAGTCTCGATCTCTCGCGTAATTTTCTCATCAATCCGCGACAGCAGCAACAGCGTTCAGCTAATCGCGGTACCTTTAACCTTCTAAATTAAAAGTGCCGAGGTGCGACCAGAAAATAGTGAAACCATAGGGCGGGCAACACCGCTTTGTCAAATCTCGCGCGTACATACGTACGTTCTCTCGCCCTTTGTACGCGCACGAGTTTTTACAATCGAACCAGACTATGTTGAACACTGGTTTAATTACTCGCGGTTATTTCAGAGATTAGTCGGCGGCTTGTTTCGCTAAACAAACTCGCACGGCCGACTGTTTTGTTGGCGAAAACTCGATTTTAAACCATTGTTTGTTCCGTTTGAACCGTGCAGTTTCGTTTGATTTGTTTTTAAATCTCTGCGCTCGTCACAAAGCGCGAGATATTTCGCGTTCCTGGCTCTTCCCTCTCGGATTTTCGTCGAGAACGACTCGACGTCCGCGATAAAGGAATTTGCTGAACTACGCGGAACAGTTGCCGTTTTACCTTGGCCGGAACGAAAGTTTATGGCCGCGTTTAACGAGACGATAAATATTCTTCGGTGACGAAATCCTTGGTAGAGTTTCGGAACGGCGGTCGCTAATTGCGCGAGACCGAGCAAAGGATTCATACGGATCGGCGAAACCAGTTTCGGTTGGTTAACGAGCCGAAGAATCCGCGCGGATCCGCGAGTCCGTGAATCCGCATTGTTCGGGCGCGCGTCCCGCACAGTTGGTTGACCAAAAATCATATTTCGCGGGGAAACTCGGGCTGCGCCGGCGGACAATGGGGTTTCCGGTTTTTTCCCCGTGTCGCGGTCTGACCGACGAACTTCTATCCGATAAATTTTATCTTATACGAGTTTTCGATTTAAACCGGGACACCGGTTTCGAGCGGCGGCAAGGAGGAAAAACGGAAGAGGGTGGCCGGGTGCCGGTTAATTCGCCGCAGAGTTTGCTCGGTTGATCTCGAGTCGCGGTTCGTTAGAAACATTTTTTAGGTATATTTCATTGGGAAAGCGCAACGAATACGAATTAAACGTATCGGACGGTTGATTCGGATTGAAGACGAGATTTGGCCGCCTTTTGGCGTCGAGGGAAAGCTTTTATCGAGGCGGAAATGGAAACGAAATCATTTCGTCGAAGCTTGCTGGCCATTGATACGTTCGTTAATCTTTCTTTTCCGAACGAGATCGCGTCAATCGATCGCCCGGCAACGCGGCGGGCTACTCTTTTTTGCGGTGGAGTTCTTCCGAGTCGTTCAGGCTAGTCGACGACTGTTTCTGGGCTCAATAACATTTTGTCAACCAGCGATGCCTACTCGAGCCACGCTCGTTCATTACGTCGGTTTTTCTGCGGATCGTTCGCCCGGCAAACAGCGGCTTGCGTTTCGCGAGAAATCAATGCCGTATGATTCTGGGTTTCCATTCGAGAACGATAATCATCGCGGATGATGCATCGATGCGTCCTGGCTCCGACGGAACTGTGTTCCGTCCCGATCCGGTGCCCGAACAATTAATCGTGATAACCGTCGCTTATAAATCTTGGCGATTCGCGTGGACTTTACACCTCCGTTTCCGAGCACGAATTAAAAAATGGCAAATTATTGAGTTTGCGTAATCGACCATTATTCTCGCGTAGTAATAACGTTTTTAAGTAAGGAGATTCACTGGTTCTGCCGACGTTGGAGATACGCGTTAGTCCCGTCGTCGTTAACGAGATTTACCGTCAACGGGTAGATAGCTGCAGTTAATAAATGTCTTTCCCCGGCGTTTAATATGTGTTTTTCGGGGAAAAGGTAATCGTCTCCTCGGTTCGAGTTCAGATGCGGCACGCGAACGTTCGTTTGACCGCACAAATATTTCGCGAACCGATTTGCGATCTCCGGTCGTTAGGTATGCAAATGACTTCGTACGATTCAACGATATGTATGATGCGAATCCGCGTCGTTCCATTCTTATCTCAGATCTACGCATTTCCTGTGAAAGACGTTTCGGCTTGCTTGGAATCGATGAAGCGGGCGATGATTAAAAAATGACGAACTTTGAATACCTGCAAACGATGATATCACGGGAAGGCTCGCACTTGTTCACGGATAATTTTGTCATTCAAACGAATTACGTAAATCGCTAGTCCGGAACGTCGTTCCATTGTCTGAATAGAACATGATCGATTAATTACGGAATTTCCCATACGATCGCTGTGTCAAAGTAAGAGTCACTTTATCAAGCGTATATGCAAACGAGAAAAAAGGCGCGCGTGTCCGCCTAGCTAAGCTACCCTTGTCATTCGTCGTATATTTCCTGGGAACGATTCGCGGAAATTGTTATAGACCGAGGCGTAAGAAAATCTTCTAACGATCGCGCAGTTATCGTAAAAGGATACGCTGTCGTTGAGCAAAGACAATGCGGTTTCCTCTCGTCGCTTGAGTAAACTGACGAACTGTAATTTTGCGCGTTCACGGATGTATTAACAGTGTTCCGTTTATCTTCCGGTCGTTCCGCGGTAATGGGCGGGGGAAAGAAGTATTAAAGCAGCTCCGTGGAATTTATGAAAAGCCATTTTTTAGCTAGTAAAATAAAAGGAAGACGAGGCACCCTCTCTGGAGTCCATCGAAGTAGGAGCTGAGAGCCTCGGAGAAGGCAGGACACGTATTTGTTTTGGCGCAACTTTTCTTGTTACGCGAAGCGGTTGTGGTGCTTGAGAACCGCGTAAACGAGCGAAAAGACGAATAGAGAATTTCATAAAGACAACGCAGCGTCGCCTCCTTCCAAAGTTTTTAATTTAGGCGAGTTGCGCACCAACCCGGCGCTAAATTAATTCCGCGGCGATGATCGTCATCTCTCGTGCCAATCTCTGCCTCTAAATGAAATTAATAAGTCCGAAACTGGATTTCGTATCTCGTAAATAAACCGAAATGTTTCTCCTTCGTTAAGACGAATCCACTCGACGTCTTATTTCGGTTGAATTTTTGCAAAATTATTTGTAGAGTCGATATGCGTATTCTCGATTGAGTATAAGTTGCGGTAGTTGGAATAAGTCGTAAGCAAGTGGGATGTTACGATTGGCAAACTGCAACGGTCGTCGTTCCATCTTCCCGAACTGATTCCTGACTGAGGTGAGGCAAGTTCGGGGGTGAGCTTTGCTTAAGCCGAGCTTAAATAAGCAAACCGTCGCGCAAGCCAGGTTCGAGCGGCGTTTCTCTCCCCGATTCCTCCAGCCAGCCTTTCGACTACGCCGCGAAACTTTTTGTCGACCAAATTCTCTATCAACGGACCGAGCGTCCCTCGGAATCGCTCGCTACCGTAACGTTTCACTTATTTTCAGATCTGAAATAAAGCGCGCGGTAACTCTCGCTTTGCCGTCGTCTGTTAATCTTTCGGACTGAACCGTCCCTGAAATCCCTACGCGCGGGACGTATCTTCTTCATCTAACGTAAACACAGCTAGTAATTTCTCGCGAGGAAGTTTCGGAGACGTCTTTCGCGAGTTAACCGAGCTTCCGATCGCTAAAATAAACTACGACAAACTTTCACCGACGGATAAATGCTGACGAATATCGCGTACCGCTAATACAGAATCGATTCGTATCGCCGTATCGACTCCCGCACGTGATCCGAGCGCGTTTAAGCCTCCCGGCTACTCACTAATCCCCTTTTGTCAGTAATAATTACGAATTCGTTAAACGGACCGTCGAAACCGTACCGTGCAAAGTATCGCGCGCTCAAAACACCCTGAATTATTCATACGTCGAGCGCGTACGTTTGTCGGCGGTCGGATCGCCGGTAACAAACAAAGCTGCATAATTAGCGAGGCTACACCGTCTGACAATGCGGTGAAGCGGTAACGCGGTAGCGAGAGATCGCGCGGAACGCGTCGAAACGACAACGAACGCTGCTGCCCGTCGAACCGCGTTTATCGAAGCAAGGGGAAAGTAAAACTCGGAAACTCGAGCAGTGGAGAAATATTATCTTTGCTGTTCTTATCAGGCTTACCAGTGGGTGACTTCGATGCCGGACTCAAGGAAGCACCGTCTAGGAACTGGCACGGTTAGACAGTCCGTCGCGGTCGGTTCCAATAGTAATATTTACATTTGGCTGTATGCCAATGGCGCTGTTTCACGGGTCCGAACGGCGGTTCGCGTTCCTCGCTTCAAGAAAAATATGGATTCTTGTTCTCCGCGACGCAACGATCGACGTCGAGTGCACGGAACGACGTGAGACGGGGAATACTTTTTCTAACTATAAGATAGCCACGAACGAGAAGTAGAAGTATTACGCTTCCTATACTCTTCGTATCACTGTCTCTCAGTTTCTAGTTTAGATCCGAAAAGTAGAGAACCGCGGTTTGAGAGTTGAAGCGGGATGAAAGTTATGATCCTCGGCGAAGAGTTTTTCGTGGATTTTCGGGATCAAAGAGTCACGATTTCGCGAAAGATTCGCCGAACCCGCAAGAAGTACGCCAACTGGATATCCTCCTATCCCCGTAATCGGAAGTTAAATCGGAGATGGTTCGTTCGTCGCTGACCGTTGCGATCAGCGATCAAAAAGTTGTAGACTCGTAAGTGGATTATTTGGTCGCGAGCATCGAACATCGAACGTTTTCGGAAAACCCGCACGACCGTTTACAAATGGAAAAAGAGTCTCGCGTTGCCCGGTTATTGTTTCAGCTGGAATCACGAAGATGCGCGAGCAGAATCTGGTCGAATCCCACGTAATTATAATTCGAACGATCATTGCC